AGAATCCTTTCACTGAAATGTCAATAAACATTTACCATGAATATCATCCAGCTTACAATTCTAAAATGATTTTATCTATAAAAAAAGGAATTAATGGATCTTTGTATCCCTTCTAGATAAAATAAAAACATTTTCAATTTAATGTTTTTAAAATCAACTAAGCAGAGTGCTCCAATTATCGTGGGTAAAAGAAAAAGCCACATTTTGTTCAATAAAATCAAATTGATATACTGCCCTTTCGTTAATCAGAGTCATTGAATGTTTTTGCAATTAATAAGTGCTGCTTTGTTTTAAATGATAAATAATCCATTTGAAATCGACTTAATAGCATTCGTAGAAGGTTTAAAGTAAGGAATATTTGACTTCTAAAGACACATAAGAAGGGAGGTAAAATATATTTAAGATATAAAGCCTATAAACGGTCGTATAGTATATAATTAAGGATATAATACAAACACTAAGGATAATTACGTATGTAAATTTTGTTTGAAATACTGCAAATGATGGATTAGTGAAAGGAGGTTGAAAAATTTCAGGCCTTAAATCTTTTGCTTTCTCACAATGTTAAAATGTCCCATTTTTCTGATGTTATGGTGTGCTTTGTATTTCGTGGATACTGACTTAGATAAAACAGGAATACACCACTAAGAGAAATGATTGGGTTTTTTTAACTTATAAATCATATGATTCTGTGAATAATTTTTACTAAACTTTGTAGCGGTATTACACAGCAGTGCTGATTTAATGTTTTGAAAAATCTTAATTACTTGTAGTAATGCTACGATTCACCATTTGTCTGCTCCTCTGCTTTTTTTTGACTTGGACAGGGGCCTCCATCTTCCAGTCTCATTATTTTGTGGACACTGACCTAGATGATGCAGTGTTTTACGACACTCTCCTGTCAGTACACCGTTCGGAGTCTCTCGCGCTGTGTTTGGCTATGTGTGGTCAGAACTGTCACTGTCTCGGTTACAACTCCCAGACAAACACGTGTCATCTTTATAAATCATGTAATTCTGTGAATATAACTTATAACGAAACTGGGTGGAGGTATTACAATTCAAAATTAGAAGGTATGTAGCATGCAAAAATAATAATTTGTTATTTCTTAAGGACCTCTGAAAATAACAAAAATTGATGCCTGTATTGCTATTTGTATTTGAACCATATGGTTCAACATGTAACTGACTTTAATACTATATTTCTAAAATATTAAGATATTTTAAACGTTTTACAATGTATAGTATTCTTCCTTTCTTTAAAAAAAAACGAACATGTACTTAATATTTTTTTTTAATTTTAAGGAAAATCTTTCATATAATTTTATGTACATTCAATAATATCGTGCCAAAAGTATTTAGTTTTAGAGATATGATAAAATCTGGAAGTAGCAACTTGGGTCATATTTCAATGAGTAAAATTTATGGGTTTTACCTCCAAGTTTTAAATTCTTTCATCAATTTTTCTCAAAATTGGGATTCGAAGTTAAAAAAACCCCCATTTTTATAGATAATAAGGATGGTTTCAGAGTACTCCTACAAGTAAAAGCCTCGGTTAACGTCCCTACGCTCCTTATATACTCCGGAGTCTTACATCCGAAGGTCATTTTCTAACGAGCTCGTTCCGCCTAAGATTTTGGGCGGAACGTATTATGCGTGAATACTGTTTACAAGTAATTGTCAGGCACCTACGTGTTTTCATGGGGTACGAAAGTCAAAGAATTAATAAAATCCATTTTATTCAGTGTGCATTATTGTTAATAAATAAAAATTGTCATTATTCCAATTTGTCACCAGAAGTACTTTCAATTTAAATTTACATTAATTTTGCGGATTGCTTATCAGAAAACTAAATTTTCGTTGCATTACACTAGTTTCGTTTCGTCAAATTTTCTGAATTCCATTTCCGAATTTCAAACAGACGACTTGTTTCAATTTCTGCTTCGATTTAAAAAATAATGGATTTACAGAGGTTAACAGTGTTTTATGACTAAGTTTATCGTAAATATTGAGAATTTTATTATTTCGTACCATTCGTAAATATACAAAGCCTTATTTCTAAATAAAATAATTAATTTCCACTTGGGGTTTCAGCGGCGTGAATTTTTACAATGGATGCTAGAGGTTACGCGGCGCCAAGTCAAAAGTACTTCGCCGTGAACCTCTAGCATGCTGGAGTAGGTTTCAGAGAGGCCGAAGTTGGAACATCTTAAATAGTTTGAAATTTCTTTATGTTTTTTTTACGAGTAGCGCTGACTTTTACATTTGACAGCTTACTTCTGCGCTAGAACATTGTACGGAAGCTTATTTACGATAAAATATTTAGCTTAAGATTTAATTCAACCAAATTAACGGGTTATTTCAACGCATTAATCAGTTGCCCTTAAGGAAAAGGCCCACTTACCCTCAACTCCTCGTCTGCACATGAAAAAGGTGTTCTTATCTATTAACAAACTCCGTACGTATATACACAATGCAGGTTTAAATGCCAAGTAAACCGTTAACTGTGAAAGTCGGTGCTTTTTCGTTAATGTCTATTATTGTTAAAAAAAGTATTATTCGCATCAGTTTTACCGAAACGAGTCCATAAAATATATACCAAACTAGGCATCCATTTTTTTTTATTGTATCATCTGTCTTCAATTAGATATAATGTGTAAATCCAGATTCTGAATCAAACTATTTAGTTTATTTCTCCTAAGATTTGTTTTATCTCTGTATGAAATTTTATCTCCTTTTACATCCAAAGATGAAAAAGCATCTCGACTGTAAAATGAAATTGACATTTATAGGAGATGGTTGGATGTTGTATGAAATGCATTATTACTTACAAATCAAGAACAAGGTCACATGGTCAAATGCAAAGGTAAGAAGAAAATGTCAGTTATTATTTCATACATCCTGACAGTTATAAACAAATATGTCACATATATTTTAGATAGGTAGTTTTTAAGATTTCTTCCATTCAGTATTATGGTGATTAGTAAAGTTAAAAATGACTATTTCAGCTTGAGTGTGAAAAGCTAGGAGCTTACTTGGTTACCATAGAAACGGAGGAAGAAAACACGTGGTTAACAGAAACGTTTGTGCCAGTACGGGGTCCTGGTACAGTTTTTAAAAAATATAATATTTCCTATTTCGCATGCTACCCAATATATGATTGGTTAGCACACCAGGTGCTGATATCGGTATACATATATGTAATCGACTTTTGCATAGGGTAAGAAACGTGACGTCCAAGAGCATATCTAGTTCTAAATACCAAAACAAATTATATGACGTCACGGTGCTTTGTAGCACATATGTGTAGTAAATCTTGTCGATTAATTATAACGCATTTGATTAGACTTAAGTTTAAAAAGAATGTATTTGGGTAAATAAAAAATAAAAGCGTTAACCAGCCCCAAACAAAGACCAGTTTGGCCCAAAGGTTTATGGGATAAAACCCTTGATTAAACCAGAATAGGGTCTTTGATTTCGATATTTGCATTTGCTCCTCATCGGAAGGAAGTCCACATCTCATAATTTCTAACACGAACTTACTTCATTTTTTTTTTGCTTTTCTGTTAACAACTTTCAGGGGAATGCAGAATATGGTGGTTTTGCTGTTCACACTGGATAGGTGCGAACGATATTGAACAGGAGGGGAGATTTGTCTGGACAGGAAACAACCGTGACGTCACTTCCTACTCCAACTGGTACCCAGGTGAACCAGATAATAAAGCGGGACAGGACTGTGTACATATGTGTCGTGAGGGGATATGGGGAGATTACGGCTGTGATGGAACATATTCTTACATTTGTGAAAAAGATTAAAAAATTTTACAAGTCGTGATATTATGAAGCATCGGATTAATTATTGAGAATTTTTTTTAAACATTTGTAAAAAAAAAAAATAATGAAATGTTTAAGTCGTAAAATCAAAAAAATTTCGGATAATCTATTGAGAATGTTTCATAGATAAGTAGTCTTTAAGTCAACAAGTACTGAATAAAAGGTTAAGATCTACCACCGTACATGTTGTGTTATTTCCTTAAATGGTTGAGAAGGAGACCTTGCACATGCTTCTGGCACTTTTTTTCTCGGATACAACCAACAGTATTAGAGATAATCTTTCAGTTTCAAATGAACAGATCTCAATGGATGTTCTATGAGCAGACAAAAGATTTGGTGGTAAATCACTGAATTGCTTCATATCAGAGGCAAAGGATTGAAAGATGATTATGGCTTCTTAAATATAAATCATAAGATTTGAACCAAAACCAATTTTTAATTCACGAGTCCTGTTGGGACAGTTTTCTCCCAACAATCACAACCAACATAAATAAATCATTTTCACAATCAGTCCGTTCCAAAATCGCTTTAAATGGTTGTTGTTCGACGAAAATACAGGCATTAGACAAAGTAGTATTCAAGAACTATTGCCCTGTCTCGAGCCTTCTATTTACATATTTCTAAAAATTTCGAAAAAGTAAATTTTAGGCTAGAAGATTATTTACGTGCATGATAAACAGCAGTCAGCATACCTTGTTCATCACTCAATGGAGACCGCTCTCTTGAGAGTTTATGACGACATAACATCATGCAGCATTAGCCGAGGGCTCAAGTGTTGTTTTATTGAAGATAGATTTATGAACTGACTCCAATGTAATTGAACACACCATTCAATCGCCCAGTATTTTCATTTTGCACGTCAGATGAGAAGCTAAATAAGATTATGGCAGATATAGTATATAATCATATATTATGTACATGTGTTATATAGCCTATGCATTGTATCGTTCGTATACCAAGGATACAATTCAAGCACTTAGGATAATATTTTTTTTTCTTAGTAGGCAATGCTGCAATTGACAGATACCTGAATCAATATACATCATTTATATCTACTGCTTATTTCATGCTTTTATTCTTTTACACTCTCACAATGTTGGGATGCGCCATCTATCTGAGGTTGTGCTTTGTGTTGTCTACAACAAAGGCAGTCCTCTTCAAGTCTCGCTATATCGCGGACACTGACTTAGATGACGCAATATTCAATGATTTGGATTCTCTTTTGTCCTTGCACCGTTCTGAATCTCTCACGCTGTGTTTTGCTTTGTGCGTAACAGCTGTGTCTCGGCTACAACTCCCAGACAAAGAGGTGTCCTCTATACAAATCAGGGGACTCAGTGAACATAACTGTTTATCAAACTGGGTAGGGGTATTACAATTCAAAGTTAGAAGGTATGAAATATCTGCAAATACAATAATGATTTGGCGAGCATCAAGGGCATATGACAGAAACAAAAACAGAAGTCTGCATTGATAATACATGTAACATTTATTATACTGTTCACTAAATATGAACGATTTTAAATGCTGAATGAAATCAAAATTTTATGGACGATCAAATTTATATATAGGAATTTTATGGTTTGATTGTCGTTATAAAACGCCGAGTCAACATTTATTCAGAAGAATTTATTAGAAAAAAAAACCTTTATAAATCATCTTCTCAAGAATAAAAAAGACATAAATGATTATATTTATATGAAAGCATTTAAGCAATGAATTATCATTTTTTGAAAGATGCAGTCTCATAACTGCAATGGTGTGTGCAAACAAATTGAATAACGCGCGTTAGCGCGTTAAGAAAATTTGTTTGCACACACCATTGCTGTTATGAGACTGCATCTTTCAAAAAATGATGATTCAATGCTTTTATTTACATTTTGTAGCCCCTGTATTTTCCACATTTTTTTAATGAAAATTCCCCCCTTATCCTTCATGTAAGTTGCAATTGATAGAACAGCTTATGGAATAGCTTAATCCAAATTTCCCGCCAGAGTTTGTTTGCGCACAAGCCAAAATCCACAAAGGAAAATAGTGCACAATAAAACAGATAACAATAATTAAAGTTTTATTATTTTTCAATCTAAAATTATAAAATTTATTTTGCAACAGAGAAATACAAATAAATGGTATAAAAGACCTAAAGTTTTCGCTTTGTTTAAACTGTAATGACGTAGTCGCTTTATTCATACGCCAGGCACGCAGCACTGTTAAGGCTTACTATATTAGCTATGAGAAATCAACGGAAAATAAAAGTGCAAAAAACGGGAAATTTTTAAAATTGAATTTATTTTTATTCAGCAATTCTATTATCACAGAATTTTAAATACTTATGGAAATAGCATGGTATAACATACTCTCTACTGTGTAGAGTTTGGTCCCATCGATGGACAGTCACGTGATAAACGCATAGCAGGTACACGGAATGTAGGTCAATAACAAATTTCAATATCGCAAGGGCATACCCTAATTGAAATTAAAAATTCAAGCTATTAATTGTTTCTGTGTACTTTGTAGTTTATGAAAAGTGCTGCTGCTTTGAATAGAATTTGCGTTTAATAATTAAATATTTAAGTAAATAGGCCAATGTCGAAATATGTTTGAATTTTACCAAATATTTTGTGCACTTATAAAATCACGGCCTCGATTTAAAGAAAGCAGCAGCACTTTTCAAGTTAAGGAATATATCCTTTATCTATATTTAAAAAATGGTTCAGATCTATGCAGTGTATGCCCTTGCGAAAGTACGATTTTATGAGGCATTTCGATGTAAAATATACGTAAGCTATACATAAAACACGACATAATTATTAAAATACATTCTCGTTGTAGTTAATTAACAATCGCACTAAACAAAGGCTATACCTTGGTATTAATCGACTATTTAAAATCTGTAAATAATAATCCGTTTAATAATTAAACACATTTTTCGTTGATAAACAATTTCTCAATTTGCATCTCACAGCACATGAAGTACGTCATTTTTACCAGTATGACGTCATGTTTACAAGTTCATCGCGACGAGTGCTTTGTCTACAACAAGCTACATGGAATTTAACTAGCAACTTTTTTTAATGCATTGATAAGTTATAATTTTGTTTATTATGCTAATACTGTTCAGCGTTGCAAATTATTTCATTTACACGTATAATGAAAACTACATAAATGTCAAATTTTTGTCTGACGTCATAGTATACTTTTCCCGTATAAATTAGGCCCCGCCCCCTTATTCAAGCCTTAACAATGCTGCGCAGACTTCGGTTATTTGGTCTTGTGTGTTATGTGTATTTATCATGTGTAATTTTATCATGCGTTTTATTAGGGTCAAACAAAGTAAATGTAAATATTAAGGTAGTGTCAAGACAATTTTCATCATATCTTGACCCCTGGGAGTGGGCCGCAATGGACCATCAAAGATTTACCTTTAAATATATAAGGAAAAAACTGGATTGTTTTTTTTTTCTTTTCTTCCTAGCCACAATGCTCAGGTGAGGAATATGGCCCATGGGTTTTATGTTAAAAAAATCATTTACTTAACATTATATTTAGCTCTACTTGTCAGAGGCCAGAACAGCTTATACGATAGTAATGCGTGGACCGTCGTCCATCCGTCTGTCTGTAATCAATTTTTCAAAACGCTACTTTTCCTACAGTTTTCGATTGATTTCAAAATAACTTGGCACAAAAGTAGACTAAACTAAGATACATAATTCTGTGTATCAGTTTTTGATTACGATGAACGGTGTTACTGTGATTACTAAAAATAAAATTTTCTGTAAACTATCTCCTCCTACTTCTTTAAAATTTTTATTATAAACAACTCCGAAAGTTGTAGTCTTATTGTAATCTTGCAACAAAAGAGACTTATTCAACGATCATTATTATACCCCACGCAACTAGTTGCGGGAGGTATAATGTTTTTGACCCGTCCGTCAGTCAGTCAGTCAGTCCGTCAGTCAGTCAGTCAGTCCGTCAGTCAGTCCTCATTTTTTGTCAGTGCAACTCCTCCTAAACCGCTGGACAGAATTTCTTCAAACTTTGCAGGTATTTAGGACACAATGTGTAGATGTGCATATTACCAGGAAATTCCGATTCCATTATTTTTTCCGGGAAATTCCACACTTTTTAACTTAGGCATTTGGCTATACCTTGAATATAGAGATGAACAGTTTGTCAGCGCAACTCCTCATAAACTGCTGCACAGAATTTCGTCAAACTTTGCAGGTATTTAGGACACAATGTGTAGATATGCATATTACCAGGAAATTCCGATTCCATTATTTTTTCCGGGAATTTCCGAACTATTTAACTTAGGCATTTGGCCATACCTTGAATATAGAGATGAACAGTTTGTCAGCGCAACTCCCCATAAACCGCTGCCTAGAATTTCGTCAAACTTTGCAGGTATTTAGGACACAATGTGTAGATGTGCATATGACCAGGAAATTCCGATTCCATTATTTTTTCCGGGAATTTCCGCACTTTTTAACTTAGGCATTTGGCCATACCTTGAATATAGAGATGAACAGTTTGTCAGCGCAACTCCTCATAAACCGCTGCCTAGAATTTCGTCAAACTTTGCAGGTATTTAGGACACAATATGTAAATGTGCATATTACCAGGAAATTCCGATTCCATTATTTTTTCCGGGAATTTCCACACTTTTTAACTTAGGCATTTGGCCATACCTTGAATATAGAGATGAACAGTTTGTCAGCGCAACTCCTCATAAACCGCTACACAGAATTTCGTCAAATATTGTAGATATTTAGGACACAATATGTAGATGTGCATATTACCAGGAAATTCTGATTCCATTATTTTTTCCGGGAATTTCCACACTTTCCAACATAGACTTTTTGGCCATATTTAGAATATAGAGATAAACAGTTTGTCAGCACCACTCCTCTTAAACTGTTGTACATAGTTTATTTTATCTTAAAGAGTTTTGCCTTTTATTCAAGAAAATCCTCCCCTCCAACCACTTCAAATTAATGTTTGGATTTGTATAATGCCAAGAAATTTTGATTCCATTATTTATGTAGAAACTTCATTCCACATTTAAATGTCCTCATATGTGAGCCATTTTGATGTGAAGATTTTTTTGCAATTATTGCTCTTTTTGATCTATACTATGTATTTAAAGTGCACTGTGCCTTTCATAATGTGCTTCACCGTCAAGTTTTGGGGGAGCGTGGGGTATGTGAGCTAGCTCACTTTTTCTTTTTCTATTTGTTGCTTTTGTTACGTTTTATTTCCGAACTGCTACTTTTCTCTTCCTTTATTATAAGTACAATCCAGTAGAGCTACAGTCTCGACAGAAACTTCTGATTCACTAGACAATGTGAAAGATCTATTTCTCTTTGTTATGAATATAAATATAAATTCATTATTTTTCAACCTATTACATCACGGTAGGGTGGAACGTTATTTTAATAGTTCAACCCTTATTGATACAGTAGAAAAAGCACTAAGCATTCTTAATCCCCTCTGAAAAATATCTCATTAATAAGTTCGTAGTTTGACTCGTACTATCTAGTGAGAGAGCCTTTATTCCAAAGTTTTCCAATTCTTCTTAGACGGTATATATTTCATTCTTCATCGGCCCTCCACACGTTTGACTTAAGTCACCAGGACAGAGAACGTTACATTCACCGTCGGGAAGTTTTTGTCTTTTCCTTATACGATGGCCACAGAAACATGCATAGCCATTCTGAAAATATATGATGCAGATGGAAAAAAATCATTCGTGTTGTTCCCTCTTATTTTTTGAATAGTTTATGTAACATTTTTTGGTAGAAACACTTTTTCGGGTTTTTGATGTTTCTTTTTTTTTTTTGTCAAAGATAGCTTTCTTTAAGAATGTACATCTTTATCTTTGAATTTGCTTTTTTCATATGAGTGCATTAGAAGAAAAACTAGATTTCATCGAAATTGGGGCCCATCTCAATAGAGCTCGCTCTCAGAAACAAACATGAAAATGTAAGATACCTGAAAAGGCTTTATATTGATGTCATGAATCTTTCTTTGTGCTCAGTTATGCTTGAAATGAATATCCCCAAACAATTACACATGGAATGAATTGAAATGATTAATTTTGTTTGTGTGCAGTTCATATATTGAATGCTTAAAGAAATATTTTGTTTATGCTATTGTCAATTTCGAATTCAGAAATATGATATAGAGAATTTACGGTTGTTGCGAACTTGCGAGGTGCATGTAAACCCATTTTCCATGCATTCTTCTTATTTTGTTTCAAATTTTGACCTATACTCGACACTCAGGGCCATTGAGCAATGAGGGTTCTCTATCGTGT